GCCTCTCCCAGGCAGTTCCCTTCCAAAGTGGAGAGTTAGAACTAGTCAGTTTACACCTTGTGGTTCCACCATCTGGAATATGTGGCCTCTAGGTGGCCACTGTGGGGAAAGAGAAAGCTGGAGAGAGTGCACTGGCTCTTACATGCTCAGCCCAGAAATGGCACATATCACTTCCACATGCAGCCCTCGGACAAGAGCTGGACGTGCGGCCTCGCCTGGGGGTCAGGGGCCGGATGATGCGGAGGAGCACACTGCCATTCACAAGTAGTAACTGTATCTGCTGCCGAGTGCGACACAAAGTGTCTGATACAGAATAAGCGCTTACTGAATGTAATCAGCCTTATTATTAACTATAATAACAACCTGGGAAACTATTCTGACCTGATGTTAGTGGAGCTTCAAGTACGAACTAGATCATCAGCGGTGGGCAAGTTTCAGGGAGAGGGAAGAGATGCTGGAGTGTAACCACGACTGCGCACCCCCAGACCCGAGCGCCAAGCTCAGGGCATCCACTCCAGGCTGCTGCTTGTTCACCGTGCCGCTCACCATCCTCAGCATCAGCTCACTCTGCAGAGCCTTCTCTGGCCTTCTGCACTGTCACCCCAGGGCCGGCCCTCCTAGAACACTGAGAAATGGGGAAGTGGGAGGCAGACGCCACAGCACACCCACCCGCTCCAATCTCACAATCCCTGAGCAGTCCACAAGTGCCTGTTATAAGCTGGGCACTGAGCAAAAGGAGGCCCCCAAGGAGTGCACAGGCTGGTGCGTGAGACAGGTACATGCGGGCAGACACAGCGTCGCGGTTGTCTTGTGGGTAAAGTTCACGGAAACCATCCCATTTTGTGAGGCTTGTGCTCTAAGCAATTGCCAGTTTGCAAGGAGACTGTCTCCCTTTGCTTAACAAGTTTTCCTCTAAAATAGTTAATGCCTGAGGCCTTAAGTTATTATCCAGGCTTCAGTGGCCATTGGTACCTACTGATGCCCAGGCCACTCTGGCCTGCCCAGCTGACATTTGCATATCCATGGTGCCACAGCCAACCTGTTTTAGGTATGTCTGCAGACTTCCAGGAATGTCCAGGGGAGATCCCTGTGGTGAGCAGAAGGGGGCAGAGGCCATAAAATCTGTGCTATTACTGTCATTGAGACCTCATTTGTGCTCACCAGGTAGTGTGGCCCCAAGAAACACAAGTACCAGCAGGAAGGACTGAAAGTGATGGCCAAGAAAACACATCTCAGAGCAGACATGGAACACCCCTGGGGGCTCCCAGAACAAGGAAGGACTTTGAAGGGGGCTGGTGTCCCCACAATTGTGGGTAGAGATGGACTCAGGGAACTACTGCTTTTTACTGTGATTCTGATTGTGACTCCCCCAAGCCTGTGTCTTCCAGGCTGGAGATTTGGCAAAGACATCGAAAGGATTTTGCTGACATGCCCAAGCCTTGGGAGTTCTCCATGAAGGATCTGATTCTCCAGCTCCTCCCAGGGATGATTCTGTCTGCCTCTGAACCCAAATTCTAGGCCTAGGAAGGGGTGCTTTCTAGGTCCAAGAGGCCTCCGGAGGCAACAGCAACTCAGACCAGCAATGAGCCAGCTCAGTCAAAAGGAGCCATGCCCTTCAGCGGGCCATGAGAGCCTCCCTGTGTGTGTAGGGAATGAGACTTGGTAGATAGCTCCAGGGCCTTGGGCCAGAATGGCAAAAAGGACCACTGCTATGGCCCAAACAACTAGCAAAACATCCAAAGATATCAAACCAGTTAAGGATTGAGATGCAGCTCAGGGCTCAAGGGGAAAGCATCTGTGACTGATTAGTGAGGTCAGGGCCAGGGCTGTGTGTGACTGTAGACAGTTGCAGCAGCTTCCTGTCTGGCTCTGTGAGCTCAGCTAAGGGACTTTGCTTCCCTCGTTCCATCTCAGCTCTAAGGCAGAGCGTGAGAGACAGTGAGCAGCTGAGCAGCAAGGAGGCCCTCGTTCACGAAGACAAAACCTCTTCCATCAGAAGGAGCCCTCGGCGTGTGCTTCCTGCCTCTCCACGCACGAGCCTTCGAGAAGCTCAGCTGTGAATCCTCTTCCCTGTCACTAAGCTGTCCCCAGTGTGCTCGGAGAGGTCCCTTTTAGGGTCTGCATGTGCTGTTCCAAAGCATGGGGCCCAACCTCTCTCCCCAAAGCCTGGCTCTTCCCAGGCTGGTCCACGCCCTCCAGCCACGGCTGCACCCTCCCCCGCACCGTCCGCTCCCATCCTCGCCAGCTCCCACCTCATCTGCATTTAACATCCCTTGTTGGGTTGTGGCAGAGAATACTCAACAGACTCATATTAAAAATGCCCTTTAAAATTCAAAAGCTTTGAACTAAAGAAATACCTCGAGAAGTTTTCATGGAAAGTTCAGCTCCGCTGGTTCAATTCACTACACTTAGATGCACCTTTTCAAATAATAGGGAAAAAACGTAACAGGGTCAGACCCAATCAATACGCTTGTTCAAACAGAATTGCGGGGACTGTGATGTGCACACATTTTGTACTCTGCCTTTGTACCCTGCCACTCGCTCTGAAGAAAGGTTTCTTTGCTAGGAGAGCAATGAAAGTGGTAGCCTTTTGAGTAGAGGCGGCAAAGCAATGGCATGTTTACTGGGCCGGGAGGGGCTGCTATTTTTCATGTCTTCCCCAGCCTGGTCTCTTTGTTCTTTTCATAATGGTGCACTGCCCACATGGGCACAGGCCCTCGCACACCCCAGTGTCTAATGCCGAGTCAGAAGCAGAGGGCTTGCAACATTTGTCTGCCACGTCTCAGAAATGTGATTTGTGGATTAGACAAAAAATTTGCTGCTTCTGTCCCAGCCTTGGTGAGAACACAAAAGGACTCGCCATGGAGTCCTGAGCTGTGGCCGTGGGAAGCTCCCAAAGCCCCAGATGGGCTCTTGTCTGGCTGCAGCAAGTTCTGCGTCCACCCCGGCCCCTCCCCTTCAGGTCCCTGGAGCCACCTGGGCAGATAGATGATTCCCTGGCCTTGGGCTGCTACCGAAAACAGCCGGGAAAATTGTGGAGACCCTGAAGGCAGCCAAGGGATTAGAGGGCGTGGAAGGGGCCAGGCTGCTGTTTATACTCCCACAGCCAGACACCAAGGCAGGTTGAAAAGTGAATGGCTGGGAGAAAACAAAATGCTTCTTTGCAGCATCTGTCCTGGCCTGGGCACAACTACTTCACACACACTCACAGACCGTAGGCACGACTGTAATCATTTAAACAGCGCCCTGGACATGTGGAAAATCATGGCAGTTTAGGAGGTTCCAGTGGGCATTAAGAAAAGATTTTATTCCCAACCTGTTTTATACTAGATCCTAAAATGTTCTTGTTGGTTCTTGCTAAAATCAGACACCTTGGGCTCACCCTGGGCCTGGGTTAAAGTTAGAATCGAGGAGTGAACGATGCCTGCGGAAGGACGCAGGAGACACATTCACGTCCCCGTCAAGTGCAATCCCGCTGCTTAAAACGCTGCTCAGGCCCTGGGTCTCCTGTAAAGAAGAGAAGTCGGAATTGCCGGGCCACACCCTAGTGTCCTTGGTCAGCCAGTACTTTCACAGATGGCCCCATCCTACCTCTGGTGACGAGAGTCGTCTCAAGGGGTTGAGTCGGGCAGCGACGCGTTGCACGCCTACACAGGAGGCAGCTCGAATGTGCCTTTTCTGATCTTGCGTGCTCTCCGCCAAGTCTGAGTTGAGGGCCTGTCACACTCTCTGTAGATTGAAATTTGGGCCACAATTCTTATGAAACAGGCTACTCCTCCTACCAGATGGAGCACTCCAAAAAGAGCAATTGGTTAGGGGGTTGCCATGTTTCTTCTTACACAGGACTGTATGTGAGAGACAGAAACTGAGACCAGCAGTAAGGAAACCACTGACATGCTTTCAGTGAGAGAATGTCTAGAGAACGCCATCTGTGGGGTGGCACTGCCTCCTGGGTTTGTTTTTTTGGGGGTGGGGAGCTTTGCACTCAGCTATCATTCCCCCTCTTTCATCTGTTATGGAGACATCTCTAAAGTAATGCTTAAAACCAGAGAGTATTTTTTATTTTAAAATTCAAAAAGAGATCAGTAGCTTAAAAAGCAGCCATATCCCCTGTTCAGAATGCCTTGGAATCTACTTTCCCCAATTTACATAGTTGGAAAGTCATTCCAAACCTCGGGTGCTCTTCTTGGCAGTGGAGAAAAACTGCTATAACAACAAACTTGGAAATATACACATCTCTAAATCAAACTGGCCTCTTGCCTTCTGTTTTAAGCACACATCACAAGTCAAAATGAATTAAATACAAATCCAGTTTGCAATGGTCCGTCACTAACCCGCTTCATTGGAACGAGCTGGCGGCGTGTGGGTTGGAAGGGGGCCTGTAGCATCCCCCGTGCTGTCTTGGATTGGATTGCAGTCTGTCTGCCAAACCAGCCCCATACGGGAGTCCAGAGCCTGGCGGCTCATCGACCGGGGTTTGGTGGGGTGTGGGGCCACCTCGAGCAGCTGCTGAAGCCCAGTCAAGGGCCCAGAAGCACAGGCCTCCTTGCATCAGGCCCCCAAAGTCAATCAAGTGTCAAGGAACTGTCATCAGGAGAAACTTAACATAGGTGAACACAAGCAGGATTGAGAGCTAACAGTGGGGATTTTCCAAAGAAATGGAAAAAAACTAACAAAGGCCACTCAAAGAGCATATAACCAGCAAGAAACAGGAAACGTATCAGGTTAATATTTTAATCTGTACATCACATTTGTTTTTGCAAACCATTACACTTTTATTTAAATTAACGTTTCCTTGCAAAATATTCATTTCATTTTTCCAACAAAATCTTATAAAGGCAAAAATAAAATTTCATTTTGGCAAATGTCATGAAGTTGATACTGGCAGCATATGGAGTTAGTTAAAAATAGACGGCAACTTCTAAATATATTCAAGATTCTTTTTTTTCTTAGCATAGTCAAAGACAAATTTTCATTAAAGTGTGGCTCCACCCAATGGAGGTTTTTGTTGTTGTTGTTTGCTTTTAAACATCATTTTCTGTATGCAGAATATCATGAGAACATGACTTAAATAAAGGGCCACAAACTCTGCACCTGGCTTAATAGCCCCCTCCTCATTTGGGGCTGGAGTCAAGCCAGAGTCCTGCCATGGTGGCCCTGCTGGTGGCAGAAGGTCAGGGATGCTGGGGGCGCCCTGCCTAACCTCCCACCACCAGACCCAAGTCCTAGGGCAGCTCCACGGCGGGAAGCAGAGGCTCCCAGCACAGCCCGGTTGGAAGGAAGGCATTCAGTCAGGGATTTTAGGTAGACGTCACCCAGTGTGGAGTTTATTGCTATGATACAATAAAAGTTGCTTCCTCTCACCTTTTCTGTACTTCGAAGTGTACTTTTTTTTTTCCTAATTAAAGCAAACTGCATTTTTCTTTCTGAGAAGAACGCTTTGCTGAGGGAACGTGGTGGGCAGGTTGTGGAGCCCAACGCTCCTGAACACACTGTTGCCCCGAAACCAAACCCAAGGGCCAAGGCACAGACATGGGCTCCACACACCATCCTGGTGGAGCTCCACACGGAGCTGGTCACCAGGTCAGGGACAGCTGCTCTCTGCAGCCAAGGACCCCTCTTCTCCCGGACAGCACACCAACAGGCCTAACGCTGGAATCCACTGGAAGCACATCCTCAAATCCAACTTTCACCTGAGTTTGTCAGAAGTTGGATTGGTCTCTGCTCCCCCTGCTCTTCTCCCCCAGCCACACCTGTCACCCAAACAGTACCTGAATCTGTATGTGCGGCTACGAAATCCTGCACCTTCACCTTTCCAGCCCTTGAGGTGAACATTATAAAATATATTCTGATTCTAAAATAGTGTCAGTATTTTACAGTGTGTATCAAAAGTGCCTTTGTCACATGTAAAAACTAAAACTAGTGGGTGTGTTAGGGCCTAGCCCTGTGGTGAACACCCCTCAGCTGGTGAGCTGCTCTGTGCCCCAGCCAGAGCCCTGCTTAGCTGGAAGGGGCTTCCTTGGGGGCCGAAATGTCCATCTCCTCGGAGGAAGCTGGTTCCACTGGGCCTTGGGGCTCCAGGCTTCTCCTCTGCACACCGGGTCACGGGTCGGGCACTGCCTGGGCTGGCAAAAAGCACAGGAGACCATGAGAGGCTGGCAGGGGCCCTGTTCACGTCTGGGAGCAGGCAGCAGGCATGTCTGTGCACACACGCAAAGGGGAACAGCAGACAGGCTAACAGAGCAGCAGAGCGGGGGGCTTGGGCGATGAGGCTGCTGCTGGGGGACCCTCAGCTTCTAGAACTAATGGGCTCTTGGCCCCACCCCCCTCTACTCCTAGACACCTGCTGGCCCCTAAATTGGGCTCCTGCCCTGACAGGACAAAGAACCTGAGCAGAGACACTGAGGTCCAATCGGCCCTGCCCTGCATTCACCAAATGACTGTGGATAACTCCCTCAGCTTTGGAGGGCTTTGTTTTTCTAACCTAAAAACAGGGTGATCACACCCAGCTCCTAATAAGAACGCATGAGGGTAAGAGGAAGCGTGGATGTGCTACCTCACAGCCATGGGGACCAAAGCCCAGGAGGAACAGAGCCTCTCTCCTGCCTGTCTGTGCTTGAGCGGCATTACCACGCCCAGATCTCTAGGAGAAAACCGCACACCCTGCTGTGGCCCTGGCAGGTCTCTGTGGCCTTTATGAAGGACCTGGCTAGAGCACTTCCCTACGGTTCCTCAGTTATGGGGCCTGCACTCCGCACCTCCTGAGAGCCAGGCCCAGGGAGGCTGACCTCTTCCTCCCCACCTCAGGCTGGCTGGGGCCTGCCGACTCTGCTCCAAGCATGGGGGAACACCCAAACTGCGGTGCCCTGTCCCCTGTAACACACTCTGTCCCTCATTTCAGCCTCTTCTCCAAACACCTAGAGCTCCTGGGGGTGGCCCAGACAAACCCATGAGTGTTGATGGAGAACAAAGGCTCCGGACTCACATCGAAGGGGTTCAAACCCTGGCGCTTAAGGGCAAGCTGCAACTCCGTGGGCAAGTCCCTCAAGGTCTCTGAGCTTCAGTTGCTCATCTGTAAAATGGAGGTGAATATCTTTTTTTAAATTTTATTTTACTTATTTTTTGAGACAAAGTCTCGCTCTGTTGCCCAGGCTAGAGTACAGAGAAGTAGTCATAGCTCACTGTAGCCTGGAAGTCCCGGGCTCAGGTGATCCTCCTGCCTCAGCCTCCCAAGTAGCTGGGACTACAGGTGCGTGCCACCATACCCAGCTAATTTTTAAAAACTTTTTGTAGCGGCAGGGCCTTGCTATGTTGCCCAGGCTGGTCTCAAACTCCTGATCTCAACTGATCCTCCTGCCTTAGCCTCCCAAAGGGCTAAGATAACAGGAGTGAGCCACCACGCCTGGCCTGGGGGTGAATATCTTCATAGGGTTGTTATGTGGATCAAAAGAGACGCCTGGCACATAGTAGGTACTCAACAATGTCAACCATAAGCATATGTAAAGAAAGGAGAGGGGAAAGCCCTACAAAATCATGGTGAGGTGGGATGTCAGGGAAAGGACTGCCAAGGCCTCCAGTCCGGCCCTCCCCTGTCCAGGTGAGGCGATGGGCACTGAAACAACAGGCCCCCAGGCCAAGAACTCACTGGACCAGGTGCCTGGACTCCTGACTCTGGGCCAGGGCTCCTTCCCTGATCCCACCTGCCTCTCATCACTAGATGCTCACGTGGGGAGGACTTAGCAGGGGTGGGGCCAGAACACTCCGACTGGCTGAGGGCCAATTTCACATTGCCCTGGGCTTTCCTTTCTCTCTCCACTTAGGTGCCCAGTGACTAAAACGGCAGTCCCAGTCTTTGGTCTGTGCCACCTGCAGTGAGCCCCAGCCCCCCATGAAGCCTTCGCCAGTCTTACAGTTCTTCAGTGTCTCCAGCCAAAGCTCCGAGAGGCCAAGATCTAATGCTCCTTTTCCAACCCTCTGAGGCTGGTGGTCTGGCCTGTGCTGGTCCCCTGGAGCATCGAACTGCCCTAGGGAAGGAGAGCAGGGTGGGAGGGGCACAGTTCTGGGTCTGGAGATTTCAGGGAGAAGAGGGCCCGGATGGCAGTCTCTATGTATCGGGGCCCCTGAAGATTGAGTTCCTAAAAAGCATCAGTTCCCCATCTGGCTACCAGTCCAGGGCGGCGCCCCCAGCAGCCGCCTTGCATGGCAGGAAGCAGCAGCAGGTGCACTGCAGTCATCTCCGCAGCAGCAGGGAGGGCGAGGCAGGGCAGGGAGCAGCAAGGGGCACGCCAGGCAGGGGCTCTTACTTGGAAGGTGTTAGACAAAGGTGTAGTGGAGTCCGTTGGTTAAGGGGGGGTAAGGTGGCACCATCCTGGAGGACAGGGGGGCGTTAGGCGGGAGGAGGGCCAGCTGCTGCGCTAGACGGGCAACAGGAATTAAGTGGTGCGTTAGACTCCTCGGAAGCCCCCGCAGAACCAGGTGCCCCGTGTGGCAGGGCTGGGGTGGTGTGGGCCCCGCTGCCCACCACCGGTGGCCTGCGCTTAGGGGGCGGATCCACAGGGCCTGGTGGGGAACTGGCCGGGCCTGGCCTGCGGTTTCTGGATGTGTCTCTGACATGAGAGGGAGCAAGAGTGAGGAAAGGCTGCAGCAAAGAACGTCGCTGAGCGGGGAGGTGGGAAAGGTCCCGCTAACTGGCGTGGGAGGGCTGGGCGTGCTGGTCGGCTGGTGCTAAGGAAGCCGAGGATGGCAGAGCCACAGTTAGGCCAAGCACAGGCGAGAGGAGCGTGCTTTGTGGTGGGGAGTAGCCCCCACTGGAACCCTCCACATGAGGAGGAGCTCAAGAGTTGCTGAGACGACCCCCGGGTTGTTGGGAGGACAGTCTGGATGAGCTATCTTCCGCGTCCCTAGCCACAGAATGCCACACGACCACCTCTCAGCCTACTCAGCATGTCCTCCAAGGGGACCAGGCTATGCGGGACAGAAAACAGGCTTCGACCAAGACCACAGACCCTCCCCTTGTCGTTGGTCACTCTCATGGCCTTTTGGCCAGGGGCAAAGTTCTGTTCCTCAGACCAGGCTCCCCAGGGAGGCTCTGCCCTAGGCCACTTCTAGCCCCCATGGCCAGGGCTGGAGAACTGGTATGGGCTGTGACACCACTTCAGGCTCTGTGATTGCCCTGCACAGAAGGAGCACACCTGGCCAGGGGCACCAGCCAGACACACAGTGGCATCAGCATCTGGGAGGAACGGTACTAGGCGAACTGTGAAGGCATGAGGCACACACAGGGAGGTAAGAGGGAAGGGAAGAGCCCGGAGTCTCTTTCCTGGCTGAGAGAGACAGCAGCCTTTTTACACACACACACATACATACACACACACACACACACACACACACACACGCACGCACACACTCCTATCCTATGGTGGTGTTTTTTCCAATGGCCAGCAAAATCCCACTTCCTAAGTTCTGCTTTCTGACACAGGATACTCTGACAAGGTGAACAGTGGCTTTGGTTTGGGGACCAAGGCAGGGGTCCCAGGGAGGGATAGAGGGGTTCCCCCGTGCCTTGCCCTAGCAAGAAATCCAAGCACCGATGGCTTTCCTGTCCCCTTCCTCATGAGATCAGAAACTTTGGCCTTGGCTCCTTGGCTCCAGGGCCTGAAAAACCTGAGTCTCTGAGGAAGCTCAATGGCAGCACCACTTCTGGCGCTCTTTCCCCCAGCACTCCTAAGCTCTGGGCATCCCATGGTCTCCCCCACTGCCTGGCCTGCCCCCTCCCCTTCCAAGCCCTGCTGTGCTCGTGGGACAGGACACCCTCTGGTCAGGAGAACACCACTGACTCTCAACGACCAACACTGACACCTCGTTTTCCATTGACTCGCTGGCTCTGGGACAGGCCGTGCTGGGCCAAGCCCCAAAGAACAGTATGTGGACCTGGGCCTTGGAGGCTGGCACCCATGGCCTTACCTGCCACCTGCTTGCTGCGCTGGGAGGCCTCAGAGGCCAGGGCATAGGAGATGTTGATGATGCGCTCCTGCTCCTGCAGCTGCGAGTCCAGGTCCGCCACGCTGCTCCTGTCCTGGCCTGATGTTGTTGGCTGTAGGTTGCACATGCTGCAGGATGGGCAGGAAACAAGCTCTGGGTCCTCGCACCCCTGAGCATCAGCCTCAGGAGGGGAGTGGCTCCCTCGCCGGGAGGTTCTCAACATTTTGTGGGGCATCAAATACTGTGGGCTTGCTCCCTAGACAAAGGTGTGCATGCTTCTCCCCAAACACCCAAACGATCACAGCAGCTTTTGTTCCTCTTTTAGGAGGGCCACAGACCAGACCTCAAATTAATAACTCTAGCTGGAGATTCCTGTTAAATTCAGATATGAAATGGCTGACCTAGCTCTGAGAGGAAGGCTTACAAACAAGAAGTTTCTGAAGCTATGGAGGCTGAGGGGGCAGGAAAGCTACTTCCTAGGGCCTCTGCCCAGTGTCCGGGGAAGTGGGCGAAGCCTCTGGCACCCTCTGGACAAGGCTGGGGGCCCTGGCTCTGCTCTACCAGTCTGCATGAGAGAGCACAGACCCAAAAGCTGGGAGGACTATGGCTGGAGCTGATCTCCAATTAGCTCCACTCCACTGCCATGCTTGGTTCCATTCCCCACACTTGCTAGGGTCGCTCGGAGCCCAGTTTGGGGGGCAAGAGCCCACGACAAGAAACCTCTGAGTGTTTCAGGCCTTTTTGGATGACCTAGGCAAGCTTCCTCACCGATGTGTTGGTGACGTGCTCAGTATCAGCCTGGCCCCTCCAGTGAGGGCTTACCTGAGATGGAGGCCTGGCCAAACACGCACCCTGGCTAGCCTGGCCCGAGGCCCACGTGGCTGAGACACCACCTGGAGCTGGGCCTAGTGAGCTGTCAAGACTTGAGCAAGCGAGGGCTGACCTTGACCGGGCGAGGATGTTGCGGATCTTCTCGGCTTTGCGATACCGTGCCTGCAGCTCCTCAAGGCTGGGTGGCTCTTCGGGATCCAGCTCCACGTAACGCTCAGGGATGGAGACCTTCTCTGGTTTGGACAGCTGGGGAGAGGGCCGGGGGTGGCAGGGGGGAGGCTCAGGTGTCTATGTTTGGAACCTGATTTCCCCAGGACCCCCCCACGAACTATGAGGAAGCAAAGAGTCCGTAGGGGTTAAGTAACTCGCTGAGATCACAAAATTAGTCAACTGTGGAATTTGTACTTGAACCTGAGTCCGACTCCAAAGCCCATGATCTTTCCACTACACCAGACAACCTCCTTCAGGCCGAGGGAAGGGAAGGGTAAGGCAAAACAGTGGGACAGGTCCAGATAAACATGATCATCCTTGATGCCACCTTCAGGGACTAAGTGATCTGACCGCTGACTACCTCTTCGGCCACACTGACCCACTAGTTTCTCCAGTTCTCCTCCCACAGTGGGGCCTCTGTCCTGCTGTTTCCTCTGAGAGGTTCTTTCTTTTGCTCCACTAATTCTCATCTTCTTGACCTCACGTTGAGAAGCCTTCTCTGGTCCCCCAATCTCTCGCTTTCTGTTCACCATTGTCTCCGGGTGCCTAAGTGCAGGGACCTGGCGCTTAGCAGTCCTTTGGCAAATACTCCTTGAATGGATGGATGATGGGTAAATGGATGACTGACAGACGGATGGATGGATAGAAGATAGCAATCGTGCTTTCTGTCCCTACAAAAGCTCTCCTGATCTAGACAGGAGGTAGCTGTGTCGTATCTGCTGCTTTCCATAAGAAAATGACACCAAACTCCCCACCAGCATCTCATGCTGACCCAGTGGCAAACTCAGCTTGATGAAATCTTCGTGGACTAAGAACACTAAAATCTACTTTTGCATGACCCGGGAACTTTTTCCCTCTTTGAATTACAAAAGCACAATAAAATGGGATTGGTTGAAGCTCCTGAAAACAAGCTAAACCCAATCCCAGAGCTGATCTGGGCATGGATTTAAACCCACATGCAGCCCTTTCACTCTGCCGAAGGTGGCAAGAAATAGGCTCTTCTCTGTTATTACCAATGAGGGCAGATCTAGAGGAAGGAAGTAGATTACATTGTAGCAGGAGGGATTTAGGTTAGAGATAAGGAAGAACTTTTTCTCCAGGCTGGCAGGCCAATTAGGACACTATAGAACATACTGCCGCTGCCAAGGCAGCATGTGGAAGCTTCTTTTGTGAATCTGAGAAAGCACAGACTTCTTTGGCTGTTTCAGGTGCCAGAGGGAAAAGGTCTGGGGGCAGGGGACTGGCCTTATTGAACCCCTGGAGCCCCTGCTGACCCCAGAACTCAGCAAGTCCATAGGCATCTATTTACCAACATGCTGCTCCTTTGTTTCCAAAGACCGAATGAGCCCCTAACATCCTGAGTCAGGTAGATACCACTGGCTAAATCAGCCGTGCACGGGCCTGCCCAAAAGGCACCGAGGGGCACCCGTCCTCTTCATTACTCACCGTCCTGTCAGACAGACCTGCGGGGGAGTCTTACTGGGGGCCCTTCTAAATCTGTCCTTCATATGGTGAAAACATTTCCTGTCATGCAGTTTCAGGGCAGGCCAAGTCCTCACACAAACGTTTGCGGGACATTTATGGGCCATGTGTGATGCATTCAACACTCTTTGTTCAGCAAATATTTACAGAACACGCACTGTGGGCCAGGCCCTGGGCTAGGGATACAAAGGTGAACCCAGCAGCCACAAACACTGCCCTGCAGAGCTTACAGATGGTACAATGTGGGCCACAGGAGACCACTTATGTCTTGAGGACCCTGAGTCTGTCATCCTCAGAGTTCTCTTTCTCTTCCCTTGGGTAGAGATGTCCCTGATTGGTAGAGACTAGGGTTACATGCTTTCCTATGCCTGCCCTGTCATGATGCATGTGAGCCACCAGAGGGCACCAGAAGAATTCAGATGAGAACTGTGCACTGTCTCCTAGCTTCCACCAAGGCTGGAAATTTCACCTGTGATTTTCAAACCTGCCCCCCATTCTCCGCAAGTCAGATTGTCCAAGCTGGCCTGACGTAGCCAGTTGCAAGGCCAACCCCTGGTGTTGTAACAATAGCATCTACTGCACCACAAGCCTACTATGTGCCAGGATTTGATCATTGCCAAACCTCCCAGGAACGTATCGATTCACTTAATCCTCACAACCCACTTCACTGTTGACGAAACCGAGGCACAGAGAAGTTAAAATTACAATTTGCCTCAAATTAGAGAGATAGATTTGAACCTTCATCAAAATGCCTGGTTTCCTTTTATTGCCTCAAGCTGCTATCCATTCATTCTCCTGGGCCATGCTGAAGCTGAGCCTTGTCCCCCGTCAGAACAATATCCTACAGTGGGAAGGTTGATAAGGCTGGGAGCACAAAGGCCACGTGTCCTGGGGGGACATGAAGGAAGCCCCTGCCCTCACCTCTCTGCTGATGTCCAGGTCATAGTCTTGAGGTTCCAGGTCCAACTCAGTGACGGGCATGGCCTGCACTTTCAACCAGCCATTCTCCTCCTTGTCCTTCCTTTTCCCTTGCATGGCCCGTTCCAGCAACTGCAGGTCAAAGTCCTGCTCACGCTTCCACTGGCAACAGAATGAGAGGGTTAAATGCAGTCACTTCTGACTGCTGACAGAGCCACACTGGTCCCCTTTTAGATGGGCCTTGCAGGCACGGGGGCCTTGGGAAGAAAGACCTGTGACCCATTACGAAAGAGCTGTGTGCTGTAACTCCGTGTGCAGTAGAGAACGAGGCCTCCGTCCCTTTCATATGGCCTGTTCTAGACTGCTGATGGCTCTCCGATCTGGGTCCCCAGAGGTTTCAAACATGCATCTCAGGGCACAGATCTAAGACCCACGACTTCAGGTTCACAATGGCTCCCAAGAATGTAGAAGTTTCCCAGCTGAGAGGGTGACCCCAGAACAACACGGGACAGAGTTCCAGAGAAGGCATTTGCCCCTTCAGCTGCCCCACAGCTCACGGAAGCCTTCCTGGTTCAGGAGCCATATGTCCCAGGCTCAGAAATAATGGAAAAAAACAGCCCTTCAAGGCCCTGATAAGCAAGTGGAATAACCAAGAGCCTCTTTATCGGGAATTTCCAACAGGGTACAGCAGGGCATATTGCACCCTGAGGTCAAGCGGCAGTGTGGGGCCAGTGAGGCAAACTGCTGTGTAAGATGGTATCAATTTGGAATAGATATTTTCTTTAAACTAGGGGGAAAAAACCCTAAATTATATAAAATTGAAATGTGAAATCAAACAATGTTTCCAAGGCTCTTCCACAGTATCGATTTTGTAATAAGCTTTACAAGAAGGAAAATCTAACCCAACCATTTTAAGATTCAACCACCACCGTCCAGCTCCGTGGTGGCTTTCTGTTCACCCACGGCCTGCATCCTCACAGGCTTTTCACCGCTGAACTGGTTGGTGAGACTAGAACAGACCTGAGCAGAGGCAAGGCAGATGCTTACCCATCCCAGGCCCCCTGCTCCCTCCCCCCATCCACCTCACAGAGCCCCAGATGGGCACGATTGTCTTTGACACCCCCTTTAGTCCCTCCAGAACCCCAAACTCAGGGCCATATCAGCACATTTCACCCATTCATGCACAAGCTCTCAATACTGACTCCAAACCAATCTGACCACTCCTAGGTGACGGTTTTCCAATTATAGTTTGACAGAATTAGGTAATTGAAGCTCCGAGAATGAAAAATTAATTTAATGACTCACAAAGAAAACACACATTTTCTTACATGCTCACAAGTGCTCCAAACAGAGACAAGTCCTCATTTAAACCCAGCCTGATTGTTTCCACAAACAGGAAAAGTTCACTAGATTCTACAACATATCCTGGGGAAGAACCACGCCAATCCATTATTATTAAGCAACACGTTTATTGGCGCTGATGCAGAGACTTACACAAGTCTTTTTTTTTTTTAAGAGAAAAATGACAAGGTATTCAAATTACGATTTTTAGATAATCTCTACATTTGAGACATCAAATTGTAAAAAGTTAGTGTTACCCCATATGACATTTGCTTATAAAGTGTAAAAGTTATCAGGTTTGCAGCTTTTAAAGATATGAGTCTTCTGGGTTTTACCCCTTTGGTGTCTGACTTAACAGCTACAGAAGGGCCCTCTGAATACATAGTATATTTTGCTACTTGTTTGTTATTAAATACCAGAAACACAAAAGTTTTCCATAAGAAATTGTGTGATTAGACTAGAGGAATGATTTTTTCATTTTTTTGGAGACAGGGTCTCACTCTGTTGTCCAGGCTAGAGTGCAGTGGCCTCATCATACCTCACTGCAACCTCGAACTCCTGGGCTCAAGTGATCCTTCTGCCTCAGCCTCCAGAGTAGCTGAGACTACAGGCATGCGCCACGTGCCCAGCTAATTTTTTTGGATTTTTTTGTGGAGACACGGTCTCTCTACATTGTTCAGGCTGGTCTCGAACTCCTGGCCTCAAGTGGTCCTCCTGCCTCGGCCTCCCAAAGTGTTAGGATTACTGGTGTGAGCCACCATGCCCAGCCTGGACCAGAGAAATTAAAACCGAACAACCTCAGCCTTGGTAGAACATATCCAAATGTGCAATCTCTGAAGCCCGTGTTTACTGTCCAGGTTTAAGACATGGATTTTGATAAATTCATTGTGCCCAGACCTCTGCTAATGACTGTGGTCTCAGGTAGCGGGTTGGCTCAGGCTTGCGGGGAGGCTTTTGGGATGAGTGGATTACAAGTCAGTAGGCCTGCATGAAGGAGGGCAGCAGAAAAGGTGAGTCACATCTGGGGACACTCACTATGCTATGGACACAGAGCTGCTATTACAAGCCTGGTAACAAATAGCACAGGCCAGTTAGAGACTGTTCAATGCAAACCAGAAGCTTCTGTAAACACAATCAGGCAGGATTAGAGAGGCAATGAGCGGTAACACTAAAAGCAAAAGAGCTTGTGCAATGAATTAGGGAAAGAACAGTCAGGCTAGAGGTTTAGGGAAATATGGGATTTCCAACAGGAAAAAGTCAAATGGAATGTTTCCAAGAGGGACCTAAGGTGACTGTGGACAGGGCGCAGCACCAGGAAGCACCACCAGGGGGCAGCTTCCCCAGCTCTCCTGGGCACCCTGAGGCCTCAGCACCATGAGCTGCGGGAGACCACCAGCCCTGAGGGTGTGGGCACAAACCTGTGCTGAGTTGCCCCCACAGAGCATCTGATGCAGGTTTGGGGGCTGGTCTGTTCACTTGTGCTTCTCCTCATTGTACCACATCACCTCTTCCTCCTCTACTCCCTGAACCCTGTAGTACCAAGTCTTGAAGTCAACAGGGATTCAGAATACCTGCAAAGGCCCCTCTCAAGCTTGCCTCAGAGAACTGACTGGATATTTTCTCGGGCTCCTAGGCCTCTGCTGTGAGATCCTCACTCCTGCTCTGGTTCCGAGTCACCCTCTGACCAGGTCACACATGCAGCCTGGATGGTAGACAAACAGCCTGTGGGGTGTTCTCTGAACCATCTAGGTCCTCAACCCGCACGCTCGGGGGTATGACACGCTTGTGTTTGGGGCCCCTGGGGCAGCTCTGTTTAGCTGGAGGGGAAGCTTTGTCCCTGTCCCAGCCCCGCCTGCCTGGCCCCTCCTAACATACTGAGCCAAGATCTCCAGGGAGCGGCTGGCTGAGGTAGCGGGACGAGGGCAGGCCTGTCCTCTCTCCTTGGCTCAGCGTCTTCTTGCGCTCCCGGACCAGGGCCTTCTGGTGCCGCTTCATGCGCTCGAGCTGCTCTTCCGCGCTCATCTTGCCGCGCTGGTGGTCCCCTGAGTACAGGCGCTCCAAGGCACTCTTGGGTCTCTGAGGAGCAGGAAGACGAGAGACACACAGAGCAGCTGGGCTGGGAAAAGAGGGCAGCCACCTGCTGGCTTCCTCCCTGTTCTTTGTCTCTCTCTCACTCACACACTAACACCCCCCCCACATACACACACACCAGGGTGCTCCTCCATAAAGAACCACTTCCTCTAACACACTGACTGCCACACTAGAAAAAACAAAACTTTTCCTTGGGGCCATGGTGTTTTATTATGAAAACAGAATAAAAATTCCAAAAACAAAACGATCCTTTCTAATTTAACGGAAAATTTATTTTTTATTGTTTTCTGTGCAGGAGTTATATGCAACTTGAAAAATAGTTCTCACGGCTCCCAAGGTCTTTGAAAAGATGTGTGAGTTACATATGCTTCATGAGGCCCTGGGCTCAAAACTGGTGTGAGTTAAATACAACTCACGTGGCAGTTAACCACTAAGCACTATGATGCCCCCGGCCCTCGTGAGCGTAGCACCCAATTCTGCAGATGTAGACGCTGATGCCCAGGCCTGTCCAGCTGGGCTCACATGCAGCACATGATGAGGCCAGAACCCAGGGAGCAGACTTAAGTTCCCTCCCATGACCCTGACAGGCTGGAGAGAAAAATGGGGGGTCCCTCAGGAAATGGAGGGAGCAGCAGGATGCCCTTCTTGGTGGGCAGTGGGTGACAGGGATCCTGAGCCCAGGAGGGGCTGAGGTCACCTCAGAGGCCATCCCCAGGGCTCATGGGATCACCAGTCACTGCCCATCTCAGAGCCTCTCCCTCAGCATGTGATGGAGCAGTGAGCCACTCACAGGGAAGGTCACCTTGCTGCTTTCGGCATTTAGACCCCTCCGGAGCGTGACGTAGGGAGCAATGGTGGATGACTGCTGGAGCCTTGACGTGGACCCTGAGAGACCTTAGTGAGGAAAGAGAAGCGGAAGCGTATTTGTGGTGGGGTGCACAGGTACCCTGCTTCTCCCTAAATACCCCACTCTTGTGAGAGGACCAAGAGGACCCAGCCAACCACTCGATCTTCTTTCTCTTCTTCCTCCCCAGGGCCTGGAAGAGCAAGGCCCTAGGTAGAGGATAGGGGGACAGCCAGGGGTGCCCTCTGTCCCTGACGGGAGACAGTGTGCCTGCAGATCTGTGGACTGCCCTAGGCTTCCCTTCCACACGGAAGACCTGGGCCGCTTGGCAGGTGGAAAGGCTGAGGGGCAGGAGCGCCCTTCATCCCGCTTCCTCCTCATGCGCTCTCATGCATCCCGCACAACCCAACCCCGGATCGCGGAGGACAGTGAGCAGGAAGCCCAACTGAGGAGAAAGTGTTTAAAGACAGGATTCACCAAGTCTTAAAGAGTGACACAAGAGGGAAAAGCCCTCTGGACGGGCTGAGATGATGGCCAAGCCAGTGGCAGTCACCCAGCACCCCAGCCTACAGGGTGCAGTAGCTCTGAAGCCAGAGCACTGGGATCATCTTCTGGCTCCATCACTGATCAGCTAATTGGCAAGTTATTTAATTTCTCTGAGCCTTAGTTTCCTTATCTCTAAAATGGGGATAATAATAGTACTCCCTTCATGTGACGTTGTGAACATTAGGTGAACATAAAGTGCTTAAACAGTGCAGGACTTTATAGTAATTGCTATTACCATTGTTTCTGGGGACAGATAACAAAGGAGGAAGTGAATCAGGACGTGGGCCAGAGGAAGGCAGGCCAGGTCCTCCCTCCCAGCAGCCCAGAGCCCCTAACAGCTGCACCCACGCCCAGGCCCAAGCTGCAGGCACAAGGCTGTGAGGAACCAGCTGAGGGTTGGAAGCTGTATGGGTATTGGTGGGTTCCCTGTGGAGGGCCTTGCCTTACCTCTGCCTGGCAGCGTCTGGTACCTGCTCTCAGGGCCCACAAGTCCGAGGGAGGGCTGGGCCACGTCCCCGCTGAGGGTCGCCAGCTCAGGCTCGCTGACGTACGACCGGAGCTCCACCTGTGAGCACAGTCGCAGGTGGTCATATCTGCCTGGCGTCACACCACCCTCCCTCTCCCCAGGGCCCTCCCTGCTCACCCTCGAGTCCCCGTTCACACACTGCCCCAGCTCCCGGTCTCGCTTCCTCTCGTCCGACTGCCGCTTGAGGCCCCGCACAGAAGTGTGCCGGATGATGGTGGCCTCCTTCGGCAGAGGTGGCACAGCCGGGGGCTGGTCCTCCGGGCTGTAGAGTTCGGGGAGTGGGGGCCTGGGAGGGGCCTCATCTTCCTGCTCAGAAAGAGAACCAGAAGCAGTGCCCAGCGAGAGGAGCTGGAGGACTGCCACAGTGGTGGCCCAAAGGGCAGGAATAGGCCACTTCGGAGCCCCAGAACACGACCACCTCAGCCAAGGAGCACTAACACTTCCCCCGGAGATGCTGTGAAGAGAGGAGATGCCTCTGCTCCATCTCTATTCTTCCCTTTGATTCATATGTTCTTTATTTTTCAAAGTGTCACCTCTACATACTACGTTCAAAAATCAAGAACTCAGGTCTCCTGGGTCCATGCTCTTGGCACTGTGCCAACTGCTTACTCTCCTGATTTGGACAACACCATAGGGGAGGCGGCTGCTAACTCTGCTCTTACTCCTAGGTTTACGGCAGCACCCCTCACCTAGAGAACAAACATCTGGCCCACTTCACAGTGCGCAGCCCAAGCTGGCTCATCGGCCTTGCAAAAAGTCTGGATCCTTCATCAGGTTGGGGAACAAGGGAAGAGTCCACAGTCTCCTGCCCTTTCTATCAGAAATGTGCATGGTTACAAAATATTTCCTCCTTCCTGACTCAGACAGAATAGGCGGTCAGGATGAGTGACTCATTGCCTACCACACGGCCCACTCCCTAGAATGGGATGAATGTAACTATTTTCCTTGAAACTCCCTGGCCACAATGCTCGCTGAGGGCTGTGGTTCCTCTATACACCAACAGACTGGCCCCCGATCGCCATGAACACCCACTCCTGGGACTAATGACCATCACGTCTTCCTCCTCCTAAATTCCCTCTTAGTCTAATTTGGCTTTGTTCTTCAGAATTTTGCAGAGTTCAGGAAAGGGCACTCCAAGTTTGCTTGGCAGAGGTTTACCAGCATTCTTTTAAAGCAACACGCTTCATTGATGTGTGAAAGTTAGGCCGTCTGTCTAAGATACCCACTGTTCTCCAAGGATCAGCAGTTTCCAACCCTGACAAGACATCAGAACCACCAATTTCTAAAAAGCTCCCCAAACAGACGAACACAAAGTTGATTGCCTTTGAAGAGAATAGAATGTCTGGAGACAAAGGGTGGGAGACATTTTATTATATACTTTTTAATATCTTTTATTTTTGTACCTTTTGAGAGTACTAGCTAGTAAAAAAAAAAAAAAAGACATTAAATTCAAGAAAACAAGCCATATAAAAAGGAAAGAACTATAGCTACATGCAACAATGTGGGTGTATATCAAAACATAATGTTGAAGAAAAGAAAAGATATAAGATACCAGCATAATTACAGTATTTAGGAATGCCAATATAGGTAGTAAAACTTAAAAAAAAAAAAAAAAAAAAAACCAGCAAGGGAATTATCATCCAAAAAGTCAAGATAATGGTCATTTCTGGCAGAAAGGAAGCAGCCAGGACAAGGAAGGAAACCACAGGCTTCTTCTGGTTGCCAGCAAAGTTCTACTTCTTGGTCTGTGTGTTAGTATAACATGGGTGGTCTCTTTATTATTATTTGTGAAATTATATATTCCTGTTTAATGTCCTCTTCAGGGTGGATATTATTGTTTCACAAATATAAATGTTAAAAACAAGCCAACAACAACAGCAAGTGGTAAAACTGGTAAACACACATGTATCACGAGAAGGAGAGAGAGAGAGAGAGAGAGAGACCTCCTGGTGCCTGGATGCTTGTCCAAGCTGAAAAAGCCTGAGAGCCACAGAGGACCACGCTGTGAGCAGGCGCCTCTGTGACCATCTGCACAGGGGAAACTGAGGGAGCTCAGAGAGGGGACAGGACTTGCGTGAGAACACAGTGAGAGTACAGGACTGGAATCTGGGTGTCCTAGCTCTTAGGCTAGTGCCTTCTCCCTCTGCTCTTTGTCCTAGCTGGTGGCATCCTGCCCTATGTCAGCAGCCATCTGCCCCAGACTATTTTTTTTTTTTACCTCCTTATTTATTTATTTTTTTGGTATTTTTTTTTACCTCCCCTTTTATGGCTGGAGCTCCAGACTACCTCTTAGATTTGGGATTGGAAAGGAGATCTAAAGCTGGAAAAATTCACAGTGACTCTCTGGCTAGGTCATGGGCCATACCCTGGGTCCAGCTCTGGGCCCTGAGCCACGGCTACAAGCAGGTGGATGGTGAGAAGCAGGGTACGGGAACACGTGTTTTACCCAGCACTGTGCACCAACCTCATCAGAGGTCCTAGGCACACATAGCACTGGGGCAAGGTTCCTCCCAGGCCTTTGCTGGCAAAAATCTGGAGGCCCCCATTCCAAGGTCCCCTCTGTAGGGCTTCCCTACATTTGGACCAGACCCCTTATGTTCTCCAGCCAAGGCT